AACTCAGATGATGACATGGAGTGGTATCTTGACACGGGTGCGAGTAACCACATGTGCGGATATAAGCATTTCTTCAAGGAGATGAGAAAGGTGGAGACCAGACATGTTTCGTTTGGGGATGCCTCGAAGGTTGAGGTAAAAGGCTGTGGTACGGTATGCTTCCTGCAAAAGGAAGGGTTGATTGGCTCAATCCGAGATGTGTACTATGTACCCGACCTAAAAAGCAATATATTAAGCATGGGTCAATTGATGGAGAAAGGCTACTCGATTATGATGAAGGACCGAGTATTGTATTTAAAAGATGAGAGAGGTCGGCTGATAGTCCGAGTTGAAATGGGCATAAATCGAATGTACAAACTGAACTTGAGATGTGTACAGGTCGACTGTTTACAAGTCGAGGTGGAAGACAAGGCGTCACTTTGGCACCTCCGCTTTGGTCACCTACATTATGGTGGTCTAATCAAGCTGGCAAAGAAGAAGATGGTTGACGGACTGCCTGACATCAACTATGAAGGAAAGTTTTGTGAGAGTTGTGTACTTAGCAAGCATGCTAGGACCACGTTTCAGAAGATGGTGAGATTTCGGGCCAAGCAGCCTTTAGAGTTGATTCATACTGATCTGTGTGGTCCAATCACCCCAGAATCCTTTAGCGGTAAGAAATATTTCATTTCTTTCATTGATGATTTCTCACGAAAAACTTGGGTTTATTTCCTGAAGGAGAAGTCCGAGGTGTTTGAAGTATTCAAAAAGTTTAAAGTAATGATTGAGAAGGCAACAAGAAAATTCATCAAGTCGGTGCGTTCTGACCGAGGTGGGGAATATACCTCGACAGCATTTCTGACATTCTGTGAGGAACATGGGATAAGAAGGTTTCTAACAACACCATACTCACCACAACAAAAGGGTGTTGCTGAAAGGAAGAACCGAACTGTTCTTGACATGGTTCGGTCAATGCTGAAGAACAAGAAAATGCCGAAGGAGTTTTGGGCAGAAGTTGTGCAGTGTGCTGTGTATGTGCAGAACCGATGTCCACATTCGAGTTTAGAGGACAAAACACCACAGGAAGCTTGGAGTGGTCAAAAGCCGTCAGTGGCTCATCTCAGAGTATTCGGTAGTGGGGCCTTTGCACATGTACCGGACCAGCTCAGAACTAAGCTCGAGGACAAAAGCAGGAAATATGTTTTTATGGGATATGATGAAAAAACAAAGGGGTATAAGTTGTTTGACCCAGTCAACAAGAAGGTCGTAGTGAGCCGAGATGTAAGGTTCAATGAAGCAGATGAGTGTGACTGGAGCAATTCACCCAAGGTGAATTTTGAAGGCGGAATCTCAACACAAGTTATCAACCCGGCAAGTTTTGAAGCTTCTGATGATGAAGACGAGGTACGACAACCCAGGATGCGGAGCATACAAGACATATATGAGTCAACAAGTGAGGTACATTTTGTTTGTCTTCTTGCAGATTCTGAAAATATAAGCTTTGAAGAAGCCATCTGAGATAAGAAATGGCAAGACGCCATGGATGAGGAGATAGAAGCCATTGATCGAAATAACACGTGGGAGTTAGCCGAGCTACCTGGAGGGAGTCAGCCCATTGGGGTAAAGTGGGTATTCAAGAAGAAAATGAATGCTCAAGGGGAGATAGAACGATATAAAGCTCGGCTAGTTGCAAAGGGTTACAAGCAAAGGGCAGGAATTGATTATGACGAGGTATTTGCTCCCGTCGCAAGGATGGAGACAATTCGGCTATTGATTTCACAAGCAGCTCAACATATGTGGCAGATATTTCAAATGGATGTCAAGTCGGCATTCTTGAATGGAGTACTTGAAGAAGAAGTCTATCTCGAACAGCCACCGGGATACATGAAAGGTGGAGAAGAGAAGAAAATGTTGAGGTTGAAGAAGGCACTTTACGGGTTGAAGCAAGCACCACGGGCGTGGAATACTCGTATTGACACTTATTTCAAGGAAAATCGTTTTGAGCAGTGCCCCTATGAACATGCACTTTATATAAAGAAAATTGGAGATGATGTTTTGTTTGTGGCTCTTTATGTGGATGACCTCATCTTTATGGGGAACAATGATGGAATGATACAAGAACTCAAAAGAACAATGACAAGGGAGTTTGAGATGACAGATCTCGGTCTGATGAGATATTTTCTTGGTCTGGAAGTCAGACAAGACAACTTGGGTATTTTTGTCTCGCAGGAGGCATATGCAAAGGAGATTCTCAAAAGATTTAAGATGACAGATTGCAACCCGGTTTCAACCCCTATGGAACCCGGTTCAAAACTCTCAAAGTATGATGGTGGAGATCGAGTTGACGCAAGCAACTACTGAAGTTTGGTAGGATGTCTTCGTTATCTGACATGCACAAGACCGGATCTCTCACTGAGTGTTGGGATTGTAAGTCGGTTCATGGAGGAGCCGAGTTATTCACACTGGAAGGTGGCAAAAAGAATCTTGAGGTATATACAAGGGACAGCTTCATTGGGACTTCACTACTCGAGGTCCGAAAATTATAAGTTAATTGGGTACACTGATAGTGACTGGTGTGGAGATGTAGACGATCGGAAAAGTACGTCGGGATATGTATTCTTCATGGGCAACACGGCATTCACTTGGATCTCGAAGAAACAACCCATTGTGACTTTGTCGACCTGTGAAGCTGAATATGTAGCTGCGTCTTGGTGTGTTTGTCACGCAGTATGGCTCAGGAACTTACTAAGCAAGCTGGAGGAGAAACAAGTCAGCCCAACCGAGATACGTATTGATAACAAGTCGGCTATAGAGTTAGCCAAGAACCCGGTGAATCATGAAAGAAGCAAGCATATTGACGTCCGTTTTCACTTCATCCGGGATCAAGTAAAGGAAGGAAATGTGGAGTTATTACATGTGGCAAGTCAGAGATATTTTCACAAAACCATTGCCGACGTTACTACTGGAAAACTGCAAAAGAATGATTGGCATGAAAGATGGAAGAAGCATTTAAGTTTACGGGGGAGTTTTGTTAAGTAAACGTTAAATGTTATTTTAATGAGTTTTAAATTTGGATAGTTTATGAGTCATGAGTTTTATATTTATTTAGGAGTTTTAAGAGTCAGTCGTTATTTAATGTTATTAGTGTTGAAGTGTCTTTTTAGTTTCATGTGTTAATTAAAATATTGAAGAGTCATATCTCTTGGTGAGTTATGAGTAGTTAGTGATGTTATGAGGGTTTATGAGACTCTTGATTAGCCTTGTAATGAGTCTCTTCATTAGTAGAGTCTCTTCATTAGTACTTTCCGTTTTTTTGTTTTGCCTATTAATAGGCTTGATGTAATGCACAATTTGGAGAATAGATTTGACAACAGAAAGTTCTTCATAGATATACTTGTGTGGTTGTCACTTGCATCTGTGTGTAGATACCAAATTCTAACCGTCTTTTCCTCTTGTGACTCATTTGTTGTTTGTAGCCTTTGGGTTATTTCTTTGCTTAGGATAAGGCTTGGGTCAGCTGAAGATGATGTTAAATTGTCTATTGGGCTTGGGTTGTTAATTGATAAACTTGGGCCCATATCACAAACCTAGCTGTATTTCTTTATATTTGAACTTTGAAGGGTGTGATAAATGATAATATATGGAAAATATGGGTCTCCTGTTGCTAGACTGACCCATCAAAAGTCATCTTGCTATTTCTCTCTCTTGATGAGTCCCACAACTTGATGCGTCAGCTGGAGAATTTTTGTTTTCTCTAGCAACAGTAGACTCGCATTGCTGGTAATATATACCTAGGAAACAAATTAAAAAGAAAAAAAAAACCACACGTCTTTATACGTATTTTTTTTTTTTTAATAATGAAAAATACACAAACGAAGCAATTACTTTCAGAGCAGTTACATCGTGTATCTTTTGATTCTTTTCCCATTATTTCACTAAATAAAATCTTAATCATTTATTTTGATTTTATTAATAATTTAAAAAAAATACGGTTCAGACGAATTGAAGCATGTACTTCTTTTCTTCTGGAATGAATCATGCACTATACCAAGGCTAATTAACTCTTTCGAGATATGTAGATCAAAACAAGAGAGTGTCGATCCATATAAATATTTTAAAATAACGAAGTTAAGCTTAAACTGATTATCTGACATCTCACACTGATAGCGATAAACATACTTTTTGGGGAGTTGGGTTATCAAATATATTTTTTCCCAAAATTTCTTTCTCATCACAAATAAAAAACATTTTTTTCAAGAGGAAGTATATATTTACTATCTAAAAATTTTATAATCTCTTACCGTTAAATTTTAGCCGTTGATTTTTGTCAATTTAACAGTTATAATTTATTAAAAATTAAAAATTAATTAATAAGTGTGACCCAATAAATTATAATCGTTAGATGAACTGAAATTAACAGTGAAAATTTGATGATAAGAGAATGTAAAACTTTTAGATTGTAAGTATATTACTTTTTCTTGTCAATGTAAAGAATCAATTCAAACTGAAAACTTAAGTTGTTAGGTGAATATCACATTAATAGTTTTTATATTATCTCTCAAACAAGAACCTATTAGATTTGAAGCATAGACAATTCACAGGCTTTCCTAGTTATATTGAAAAATTTCAGGATATTTAATTATTTTTATTAATAAAATAAGATGATGAAACTCATGATCACTCTTTCACCAAATCTTTGATACTATGTTAAAAAAGGCAATTCAATCCAACCCTTTAACCTCTTACGTGAAGTTCACGGTAATGGTTTTTATATTATCTATCTCATGCTCCGGAAGAAATTGTGCGCGATACAGGTATCATGCACACATATTAACTAATAACTAGTGATATCACTGTGTCCAGGATATTAATTCCAAAAATTCTAAAGCATGCCAAAGCTGAAGAGACAGTAAAATTGTAAAATATATGTGAATTAATGCTTGTTACTTTCACATGCTAAGCGTGAAACTGAACTGGTTCATGTTTCTATTTATTGGAAAAGCCTGTACTAGTCTCCTACCTCAATGTTCATGAACCGAGGATGTACTCAACTCCGTTTCAACTGCATGTGCATCCTCTATGAACTTCTTATTGTAAATGTCACATTTGTAGAACTTTCGGGTTCTCATCACCAAAATCAATGAAACCAGTGCTCCAAATAAAGTGACAGATGCCATTATTATGAAAGGAAGCTTGTAGCATTCAGTTCCAATACAAGTCAATTCCATGCCCTTTACAAACTCTCTGTCATGTTTTTTGAGTTGCTTTTTTGCCTCTCTATCATAAAGGAACCCAGTCACCTTCACATTAAATATATATGATCCAAGGGGAGTAACCAGACCAACAGAATTGGACAGTGTGGCAAAGTATTTGAGACCAAAGAGTTCAGAAATAATTGCTGTGAACAATAGCAATAGTGCACCATAGGAAAATCCGATTATAACTGATGCTACATAGATTGAACCGGGTACTGGGAAAGCAATAAGAAGGTGGCCAGTGCATGATAAGAAAAGCGACAAGGTTAACATCATAGTGCGAGGAAATTTGTATTTTTGAAGCATAATTTCAGATACAAAACCAGCAAAGACCCTCCCAAAGTAATTCCAAATGCTTATAAGTGACACAAATGATCTTACAGTATTGGCAGGGTATCCTAAAGACTCACCAATTTGTCCCAAATTGTCTATTGCTGTTAAGCTTGCTCCAAAGCCAGTAAACGATGAAATTGACAATAGAAACATGTCAGTGCTTAATAGTGCTTGCAAAATAGAGTAATCCTCTCCCCTTTCAGGTTTATTTAATATGCTGGCAAAACAAGATATTTTTGTTGGACCCTCTACTTTTTCCTCCCCTGAAAAATTTAAATGGGGTGGTGTTTGTTTGGATTCAAATGTTTGTGGTTTCTCTATGATAACCTCACTTGTAGTATTCCCATGTTTTTTCCTGATATTCCATAGTGAGAACTCATTCCTAATAGCAATTAACATAGGGATGAAGAGAAGAATACATACCACAGTCACACTTCCACCAAAGGCTGCTTTTGAGAAATCAATCTGTTGCTGAGCAATGATTATTGCCATGAGAAACAATGCAAGTGCAAGTGATGCATAGAAAATTTGGTAGAAAATTTTGAGCTCGTTTGGTTGGCTATCATTCTTCATGACCCGAATTGCAAATGCAAACACCACTGATATAGCAGCTGGAAACCATGCAACAAGAAGGATCAGAGATTCAGAATCATTCCCATAAATGGCCAAATAAAAATGTGTCAAGATAGCTCCACTGAGTCCAATGTAACCCTTTAAGAGACCCAATATTATGCCTCGGCTTTCAGGGAAATTCTTGACACACGTGACTAGTACTCCTGTGTTGGCATAGGTCTGAGAACTAGCACCTATGAAAATGTAAAGGCACATTTGCCAAACTTTGGCCTTGGATATTCTATGTGTGACAACCAGCCAGATCATGAAATAGCCAACAAAGTTCATGGCTGAGCCAAGAAGGAGCACGAACCATGGAGGGGTTACCTCAGCAATAAGACCAGCAGGAAGACCTATATTTGAACCAAGATCCTTGTAAAACCCCAAAAGGTTGAGTGTGCTTTGATCATAACCTTGTGAAGATTTTATTGCTTTGGAGTAAGTTCCAAAAACATAGGTACCACCAACTCCTGCCATGATAAAGAAGGAGGCAGAAACCATGAACCATCGACCTCGTATTACACATGCTATAAACTCTAAAATGCTAAATCGCTCACTACTACTCCTGTTAATGGTGGTGATCATTTTTGTGTCTCACCTTCAATTTTCCTGATATGATAAAATATCGAGCAGGGGAAACAAGTTATGTGGATTGTTAGTAATGACGAAAATAAAGGTAACTAGGCGATTTATGGTAACATTTCATCCCATTATTCATAAGAATTTAATTTTAGAACTATCATAATAATAGTAATTAAAATTGTTCTTTAAAATGGTACGATACAATGTTTGCAATAAAGTCCTTTTGATCTCCAACAAAAAACACAGTCCTCACTTTCGTCCTTTACAAAAAAATACCTATATTAGTCCATTTTTAGGGATTATATTGGATCTTAATTAAATTTCTGAAGGACCATATTTGCAAAGGACTGAAATTATAGAAGGACCAAAAGTTGATTTTTTATTTTGTAAGGGATGAAAGTGAGGACCGTATTTTTTGTTAGAGACCTCAAAGAAGTTTTACTTTTAAAATAATTACTTATTTTGCTACCTCACCATTAATTTTCCTATTTTAATCAAAGTCTCAAAGCATTTATTTTCTCTCAATTTTTAAGAGACGCATTATGACAAAAAGTTAAAGCAAAATTAAAGCCATTTTTCGGTGGCTTTTGTTTTCATATGAATCAAATATCTTGTCACTATTCATTTAGTAGCTTTGGATGGTCTTCACACTTTCACTATTACAATTTGCGGAACGTTGCAGAAAGAATACGGATGAGCGGTGCAACACGGAAACGCGTTAAGTAACCCAGAATTCATTTGGTATAAATAGGATTCATTTCCTCTGTTCTTATTATCCCACAGCTCAGACAAATATAAAGAGTGTTTCCTTATTATTATTTTGAGTGTGACACATTTTGCTAACATAAGAGAGTAATATTGATCTCACCTTATATTTAGAGAGAGATGCTACAATTTTTTTCATATTGTGAAAATCTTTTTTGATCGTCCGTCGTTTTTCTCAATTGGATTTTCCAAATAAATTTTGGGTAAAGTGTGTATCATTTTAAAGGATGTAAAGTTGTATCATTTTAAGTGAGAGAAAGAGATAGATAAAACAAGAGAGAGTAGACAAAAAAAAATAAAGATGTGGGTCCTATCTCTTTGTGAGAGTGAAAGGATATAAGTTGTGTCATTTAAAAGGACAAACATTTTTCCTATAAATTTTATATGTCAATTCAATTGGTATATTTATAAAGAGGTAGGATCATTTGACACCGGTGTCAAATTTGAAGTTTGACACCTCATCTAAGAGCCGTTTTATCAAAAAAGATCAATGGTGTCACATGCTTACAAATCAAAGTTGTTGATATTTTTTTGATCTAATGACTCTTACATGAGGTGTCAAACTTTAAATTTGACACCGGTGTCAAAAGATCCTGCCTCATTTATAAATGTTGACTTCTTAACCGTAAATAAAGGTAACAAGTCGAACTATGGTAGCTTTTCATCCCATTACTCGTGAGAAATTTTAATTTTAGAACTATCATAATAATAATAATAATAATAATAATTAAAATTGTTCTTTAAAATGGTAACAATACATTGTTCCCTTATTAAGAGAATTACTTATTTTGCTATCTCACCATTAATTTTCCTATTTTAATCAATTAAACATTTGTACTCAACACAGAAGTCATCAAATAGAGTGGTATATTTGTTTAGGATTGTACCCAGCACCAATTTATGTCAAGCAAGATCTTGCTTCATGGAGCACAAACAACGTATATGAAACCCTGCATTTTTCCGTTCGTGTTTGATTTCGATCTAAATCGAACACATTGTTCGATGTCAAGCATTTATTTTCTTTAAAAAAATGGCGTTTGTCTGATCAGTCCAACGTATCTTTTCACTAAATATAATATATTCTACTTACTTTATATATATATATATATATATATATATATGGGGCAGGATCATCTTACACCGGTGTAAGAATAAAAAGTCTTACACCAAATCTTAACCATTGATTTTGTGCATCTAACGGTTAAGATTTATTAGATTCCACTCATTAATTAATTTTTAATTCCCAATAAATCTCAACCATTAGATGCACGGAAATCAACGGTTAAGATTTGGTGTAAAATTTATTATTCTTACACCGGTGTAAGTTGATCCTATATATATATATATATATATATATATATATATATATATATATATATATATATATATATAGGGGTAAATATTTCTACAGCAACTTTAGGTAAGCTTATCTACAGCTGCTATTTTTAACTATATTCTCCCGGGAGAATATAATTATAACGTTAAAGTTGCTCTTATCTACGTGGAGAGAGAGAAAAGAGCAACTTTAACGTTATAACTATATTCTCCCGGGAAAATATAGTTAAAAATAGCAGTTGTAGATAAGTTTACCTAACGTTGTTGTAGAAATATTTTTGCCATATATATATATATATATATGAAAAATAGATGTATCATGTTGTAGTAAATTGATTGTGTCATGGTATAGACACAATCAATGTGGACCTCATCACTTTTAAAATAAAAAGAAAAGAAAAGAAAATGGTGGGGTCCACAATGATTGTGTCTATAACATGACACAACCAATTTTCTACAACATGATATATCCATTTCCCTATATACATATCTACTTTGCCTATTACATTCAATAGAAAAGAGAAATAATAAAAATTAGTTGAGATTTTCATCTAATGACGTTGGAGAGAAAAATATTTTTAATACTACGAGTGTATCGAACTCGGTATACCTGTTTATTAAATGGGGAAAGTTTAAAGGGACATAGAGGAAAATATATATATAAAAAGAAGAAGCGAGGATTAAATTGGAAAAAAGGATACTAAAAAAAAAGTGGAAAAAAATTATCCATTTTAGCAAATAGGTGTGTCGAGAGTTCAGTACACCGGGTGCATTAAAAGTTTGCTTTGCTCGTTGGAGCTTGACAGGTACGGTAGGCATAAAAAAAATAAGTAAAATAACTTATCTTATATATAATTAAAGACAATAATACTCTTTATTTCAAAATAGGGATAAGATATTATGTCTATATTTTTTCATATCTACTCATATTCAATACCTTATATCATAATAAATTAATTGAGATTCTGATATAACACTATCGAAAATTAATAGATAAGTTAGGCATAAAAAACATGTAGTAGATATTCTATCTTTTCAAAATATCTTTAAATTTAGGGGGAAAATTATTTTGACTAAATTATTATTTATTAAATACTCAAAATATTGTAATATCATTAAATTTTTTAATTTCATTTAGTGAAATACAAAGAGACAAATGTAAAATTAAAAAAGATAATAAATACTTCATTAATATTGTAAAACAATAATAAATTGAAACAAAATAATTTTGTAAAAATAAAAGATATACATCACTGAGACGAGAGAAAGCCCTTTAAGCCCATATGTCAACTTTCCCAATCATCCAATTGGACAGTGGCCAACCCTGCAAAACGGTGGCTTTATTTTCCCAAAGTTCTTGATTTGTCCAGGCCCGTGAGAAATGAGACTTTTTGTAATTTTGGCGACTAGGATTGGAACCATAATATTAAGATTCATTGGTTCCCCTTAACTCGCATATTCTATAAGAAAGTGGACAGATTTCTTAAATATGAATGGCTGAAAACACCCAGAGAGGGCCAGTGGCAGTATATATACTTCTTCACCATCAAATAATTGTCCCCACTTCAAATCCCAAGCAAATGGAAATAATAGTAATAATCATCATAATAATAACTAGACTTGACAATTGCCAGTCTTTAAAATCAATTCATATTCCAAATCAGCTTCATTGTTCCCTCTAGCTTCTCACATGCACACATGGGAATGTTGTTCCCGTAGCCAAAAGGCAATTTTTCGTTGAACTTTTTTCTCTAATAATTTGGAAGATTCTATCTTTATAGGATATGGGTAGTGAGTATTGCCCTGTCTTTTGTTTCAGCAGTGCATGTGCTAACACAGCTCAGACCACAATGTTGTAGGGTCAGTGCATAAACAAATGCTGGGGACTTTCCCGTTAACAAAACCTCTTATTTATGTATGGGGCGGTTCTTTCTTATTTATTTTCCCCTCAACTCTTTTAATTTGAGGAATATTGCATTGGCAAATGCATAAACATTGTATGATCAAAACTAAAACTGTTCAGCAGTCATAGCTCCATCTCCAAATTTCGGGGGGGGGGGGGGGGGGGGGGGGGGGGGGGGGGGGGGGGGGGGGGGGGGGGGGGGGGGGGGTATGACGACATTATTATCAACGTTAGTTATGTATTAGAGCTTGTTAAGCACCTCTTTCTTTTAACTTAAAAATTATTTTTAAGTTAAAGTTAAAAAAAAAAGATTTAAAAATAAAGTTACAAGCTGTTTTATGATTATATAAAATTTTTAGCTTAAAAGTTACTTAAAATTATTCATTTCAAAACAATCATATATTATAAAAAAAGCTAATACAACTTAAAAAAAAGCTTATCCTAGGACTTTTTCACTTTTTATTTTTTTCTTTATTTTAAACAAAAAATTATTATAAGAGTTTTTATAAAAAATTATTTGGCCTAGTTTCTACTTATAAGAAGAAGAAAAAACTAAAAAAAAAAAACTTCCAAACAGGCATTTTGTACATGTAATTTACAAATAATTTGTATATCAATCAAAACAGCTTATATTATATATTTGCAAGTGGTTGGTTTTCCACTTGGATGGGTGATGCGAGGAAATTATTTGCATATGGACCAACCATGTCAGTATTTTACCATAAATCAGTATGTACACCACTATGAATTAAATATGGTCCTGCTTTGCCCAATAGCGAATGGTCAAATTAGACCATGTCCTTCCGGTCGTTAAATTTGAAAGACAGAAAGACTAATGGTAGTGTCGTATTCATTTATGTAGAGGACTGTGCATTGACCTAAAACCTAACTATATAAATAAATGTTTGGGGGATATTAAATTAAAATCAAATTTAATTAACAAGATGTTATAAACCCCTGTATAGTTGCATTGTCTAATTGCTTGTTGCATTATTGAGTT